GGATGGTAAATGCTCAGTGGAAAAGAGGACAAATCATAGTGCAACCCCATAAAAAATATTTCCTATATTAAGCTATTAAAAGCCCCTCACAAAGTGAAAACAGTGAAGGCATGTAATTCCAATGACAAAAATGGTTCCTTTCACCACACTTCCTGGTTTGCACAATGCCAGAAGTGATATCACTAGGCTCCACCTACATGTTCCATCACTGGTCACGTGACTTCCTCAGGGACGTTCTGTGATTTGGGAGTTGGGCTTTTATTGGAGTGTGGATTTATCTAGCATGGGATTACTGGAGGATTTTTTTTTTTAATTTCATTTATATGTCTGGATGAGGAGTTAGCGCACTACACATTCTTGGTTTGTATGCTATCATTGATTTCTATGAGTGGCTCTACATGGGTATACATTGGTACTTGCATAACCACACACATGCGTATGGACATACAACTCTGGATACAGACTGTATATAAGGGTTGTATTTCCAAACACATGCATGTGGTTACACAGGTAACAGTGTATACCTGAATATAGCCACTGTAATTGATTTCTATGGGCAGTATGCGGCAACTGTTTCTTCTAGGCAGGGGAATACACAACATTTTACAACATATGCCCCAGACAGAATATGCATGAGGCCTAAAAGTGGATGAAACCTCTAAAAAGAGTGTCTACCATATGACCATTATTGAACTAACTGAAATTCCAATGTTCTGGCCTATGAGTGCTTTCAGACCAAGAATTAGCAAATTCATGTGTTTTTCAGATTATCAACTTTCTGTGTTCTTGGGAAACAAAGGGAATGCATACTTTTAAATGGCCATAGTTATCTGATTCAAGGTAGGAGGAGCATGTACACCAAAGTGCATTGTAGTATGTAGCCTATATGTCTTTTGGTTTTGCTAGATCTTACTACACAGTTTAGGGAGGAGGAGGAGGGGTTGTTTCATATTTTTATGGGGTAAGAGCATATAGACTTCCATGCAAGGTGACCCCTAAGCATGTTGTTTGTTAGGGTGCAGTTAGTGCAGTGCAGTTGTCTGAGGTTACCTTCTCTAATAACAGGGAATGTTGACTAAAGCACAATTACCCAATTTACTTATAATGCTCATTTTATTTCTAAATCAAGAAAAAGTCAGTTAAAAAGTTAGTAAATTCAGTAAAATCATTTCTTATAGGGCAATTTCAAACAAAATAAACTTTTACAAGTGTGCTTTTGTTTAACCACTATATTGGATGTTTTAAATATCACAATGTGTATTACATGCATAAAAATGTCTACTTTGTGTGTTTGATGCAAAAACCTGCCATCTATTCCTCAACATCTGTGGTAAATTCCCCTGTCCATATTTTGAAATATACTAGAGAGCTTTCGTTGGATACAAACCAACAGTGCTGATATGGTTCTGTCAATTCCACAGATGTCCAGCAGTTACATTTTAAATCAGCATAAGAGTCGCAAAATAAAATGTTATGTTTCAGAAACGTATTTCCTTACAGGTGGTTTAATAAATGCTGCAGGCTTTCCAACTGTGGGGAAAACCTAAGTAGCAGATACTAATTTTATCTTTTTAACAATTCTTTTGTTATTGTGTGCAACAGATTTAAAAAATTACATACAATCTCTGGTAAAAGAATATAGAGCTCACAGAAGTCACAGAACATTTGCTAGAAATACTGTATAAACACAGTATAAATAAAACAATGCATTTTAATGTGTGCCCGGGGGGTGTTGACAGAGGCCATCTGACTTATTACCTGGTTTAAGGGCTGGTGGCTGGGAGGTCACCACATGTATGACTGTATCGTGGACCTCCCTTATACACAGTTTTATTCTAATACCTTCCACTATGTACAGGTTGCATTCTGGAAACTGGTAAATTATTGTTCAGCATTATATTTTGTGACCAGAGATACCAAATACAGAGTATTTTGGATGGGGCTTTCACCCAGGAGGTAGGAGACTGCTATCTCCCCTTTTCTATGTGATGTGTATGACCTTGATTTGTTCAGTATGATATTCCGCATTCAAATATACTTTATACTTAATATTAATGTGTCTTGGTCCTGTTGAATTTAGGTGCAGAGATCCAATTACTAGATTCCCCAAGACATCTGTGAATCAAAACATAATCAACCCAGCGTTATGTCCTAATCAAAATAATTATTTTTTGGTGGACTGACCCATTATGGTTAGCAAAGTACGCATTTACTTTGCAAATAACATACATTGACATCTATTAATTATACACTCACCATGTATTTATATGCCATGGGTTTGCACTCCCCAATCATTTAACATGTATTTGTATGGAGGAAACAAAATAAAGCAACAAACAAGAGAGCCTTCACTGCTTCCAAACCAAATGCTCTGATATCATTATGTTGACTCTACTGATATCCAGCAGTTAAATTTTGAATCAGTAATTGAATTTAAAAACTAAAATGTTGTGTTTCAAATGGTTTTTTTCTTACAAGTGGTTTAATAAAAACTGCATTTACATTACTGTGCATTTACCTTGCATTCACATTGACGTCAATAAAGGAATAGAAGCAAAGTACAAATTGATCTCAGGCTGACATTAAAGTATATATGATCCCTTACCATGCAAAACAACCCATTTTGATTAAAATAGAAATGAAAGGCAAACCGTTTGTATGTGTGTATATATATATATATATATATATATATATATATATTTGTTTTCTTTTATTTATAACTGATCACATAATCTCTGTTGCAAATTTACAAAAAAAAAAAACACGCCTAAAGAAATAGATAATGCTAAGCAGTAGACACACACACATGAAGATATCCCTTCTCATATAAATGACAAAGTAATAATGTGTTGCACTCACAAATATGATAATAATGAAAAACAAACAATTTTAAAGTAACACATAGTATAAATCAATATATATCCATGTGCAAAAAGCAGAAACATGAATTAATAATAAAATGAATTATAAATAAGTGTCCAAATAAAGTCCCATCAAGTGAAAGAATAAGTGCTTCAAATATTTTTCAGTAATGGTGTAAGACGATGTGCATGACATGCAACTTCACCCAGAGTAATAATCAGATGTCTGCTTACCAGCTAATATTTACCATTTTAAGATAAGAATGGTCAGACAGAGCTCTAGGATTGCCTCTTGGATGTCAATAAACTTGTACTACTTCTAAACGCAGCCAATTCCCTAATGTCAATATTCAACTGAAATACTCATGCAACATAAAGGCCTCACCATGGTGTAGTATCATCTTAAAAGCATTTATTCATAGATAGAAATACATTCACATTGCAATAAAATCAATCTAATTCATAATCACCAAGCCGGCTTGCTATAAGCAGTTCTGGGAGCACGATGATGTCAGTAGGAGGCTCTGACTGACGTGTTTTATCATCAAAAGACTCCTGTAGCATTACCGCATTTTTTGGGATCATCTCATCTCATTTCTACAGTGTTACAGTTTTCTGTTGCATTATACACATTAAATATTATGTGCTGTTTTCTGTATCAGGTAAATTGACAATCACTGCATTAAAAGTTGGGACAATCAATCGAAATTATATTAAGAAATTAGGTCTTACACCCCATGACTAGGACACTTGTCTCTTACTGAATAACAGTGTGTCTATACTCATGCATGTTTGCAAAAATTAGTCATTACTTCTCAAATGTACTTTATGACTCTTTGCATTATGAACATTTAATCCAAACATAGTCAACTTTTACTTACCAGTGATTTACACAGTGTTAGACACTTAGGGAAAATGGTTGTTTATCTGCTATGTCCTTCCGTGAAGGACCTTCCACTTGATTCAGCAATGGGTTTGGTAGGCTTGCATTAAATGTTCCTTTAAGCACTGTGTCTTTAAATACTGGGCTCAACTATAAACACAAATAATAAAAACACATTATTTTAATACGTAATTAGGTATGATTTTTGCAATTAAACTAAATGAATATTTATTTAGTTTATTTATTTTGTGGTACCAAATGCTGAAGCACTTTAAAAGGAACTGTTTATTATTATTAGTTTCTTTCACCAAAAGGCATAAACTGTAATGTCCCTTTCAGAGTCATAGAGATTATCACAAGATTAAGCCCAGTTCTTGATGGAAATAACCCATCAGAAAGTTTGTGTTGGTGTTTTGAAACCAGAACACTTGGAAGAAAAGCAAACTAATATGGAAAGAAGACATTCCATACAGATAGTGCTCCTGGAAAACAAACACAGGATCCCCCATGTCACATGTACGAAATCTACAAAAGATTTTTTATCAAATTCATATGGCATAACACGACTCATAAAAAGCAAACTCAGTCCTGTTATACTTAAGATCTGGTAGGGGGGGCCTAGTAGCCCAAGATATGGTTAAATATTGTTATGCTTCGAATTAACATCTTATTCTCACCTGGTACTTCCAGCATGCACCCAAGTGCTGTACGGAAATCGAATCAGGGCAAATATACCCAGTGCACTTACATTCGCCAATATGTTGTAACATAAAATCTGCTTAGAAGTCAATGAAACATTTACTTTTTGGCCCAATGCTTTTTGCTACATAGATTTGGAATGTGTTCACTAGGAAAAATTCCCTAGTCTCCTCCTGCCCGTTGTAGTCACTAGCTAGTGCTGATATTTATTTGTATGTGTGTGTGTGTGTGTGTGTTTATTGAAAAGCACAGGGGTATGCACTTTATTGGAAGATGGTTAGGTTGTAAAATGCAGCTTTCATAAATAAATCTATATTCAATGGATAGTACAATAAAAGTAAAGGTTTACATTTGAACACCTGCTTGCTTGTCTATATATACTAAAAAAAAAAAAAAAGAAAAAACGAAAGGTATTTTAACTGCCTCCTGCCCGCCATATAAGGATATGATGGACCCTTGGACACAGCGGATCACCGATCAACGGAAAGAGCCGAAGATGTCGGCTTGGTCATGTGATCAGCTGTGTCCAATCACAGCTGATTGCATGTAAATAAGGAAATGCCGGTTATCATCATTTCTCTCCTCACAAGCTGTCGCTCTGACAGAGGAGAGGAGAGCCGGTAATCGGCATTCCTCGGAGGGGACATGTACACTGATCATCAGGGCACTGATGATCAGTGTGCCCTGGTGATCAGTGTAGCCCCAGCAGTGCCACTTGTCAGTGCTCATCAATGCCACCTGCCAGTGCCCATCAGTGCCTGATCAATGCCACATATCAGTGCCTACCAGTGCACATCAATGCCACATATCAGTGTCCATCTGAGCTGCCTTTCAGTACCACCTATCAATGCCAGTCAGTGCCACCTATCAGTGCTGCCTATAAGTGCCAGTCAGAGCTGCCTATCAGTGCCGCGTATCAGTGCCAGTCAGTGTTGCATATCAGTGCCAGTCAGTGCCACCCATCAGTGTCATATATGAGTGCTGCCTTTCAGTGCCCATCAGTGATGCCTGTCAATGCTCATCAGTGCCACCTACCAGTGCCTCCTCATCAGTGCCCATCAGTGCAGCCTATCAGTGCACATCAGTGAAGGAGAAAAATCACTTATTTCTAAAATTTTATAACAAAAGCTAAGAAAAAACTTTTCAGTAGTTTTTGGTTTGTTTAGCAAAAAATAAAAAACCCAGAGGTGATTAAATACTACCAAAAGAAAGCTCTATCTGTCACAAAAAAATGATAAAAATTGTATATGGGTACAGTGTTGCATGACCGCGTAATTTTAATTCAAAGCGTGACAGCGATGAAACCTGACAATTGGCCTGGGCAGGAAGGGGGTATAAGTGTCCTGTATGCAAGTGGTTAAACGTACATATTAGTTAATTCCTTCTTATGAAAATACCATACAGATAAAACGATTTACAATTCTGAATTCTAAAGTATATGTGCCTTCTAATTTGTGAGATGAACAATACAACTTTTCAAATGATAATCTCCTGCACATGTGGTAAATATGAATTATATACAGTACATGTAAGCCAGCAAACCAAGCTTAGTGCAACAATTCAGAGTAAACATCAGGAAAAGTCATGCTATCACTTCTAAACCAGAAATAGCACATTATAATTGCAATAATATAGTGTGCTGTCATAGCTCTATACTTCCTCTGCTCTAAGCCTTCTACATTTTCCTTGTAAACCAGCATTTTTTCTGAAGGTTGGTGAACCATGCCACTGAAATGACCAATTATCTTCTCTAACGTAGTTCACAAAATAGTCATGTATTATAGTTCATAAAGGAGTGATTTACACATCTCCACCACTATCCTGATATGAAGAATTAACATGCACCAAAGGTCAAAATGTAAAATCATATATTAATTTCTGCATTGATTTTCTTAGTTCTAGTCTACTTGTATTAATCAGAATGATCATAAAGACTGTAAACTAACTTTGTGAAGAATTCCGCACATGTAAATCCTTTATTTCAGTAACATATTTTCATTATGCCCTGTGAATATGTACTCCTGTGTGTCACAGAGGAGTTTTCCGGAGGCATAGTTAGCTCTAGGAAACGGGTGTCAAACTGGTGGCCCTCCAGCTGTTGCCAAACTACAAGTCCCATGAGGCATTGCAAGAGTGACAGTTACAAGCATGACTCCCAAAGGCAGAGGCATGCTGGGACTTGTAGTTTTGCAACAGCTGGAGGGCCACCAGTTTGACACCCCTAGGAGCTGACCATAGTTCAGAGCTCCGCCCTTCCAAGGAGTCCGAGTGTGGTTGCAAGTAAGCGATCAAAGAGGTGTGCATGTTTGCATGGTGCTGTCAGGGACAAGACAGTCAAACTGAGAGATTGAGCAGCAGGGAGCTGCAGGAAAAATGCAGGGAGCTGACAGAGATACAGACTTTATAGAGAGTGCAGGGATGCTGTGTTGGAAGATCAGGAGGACCAAGGCACGGGGCAGTAGGGCAGCCAAAGAGAGTCAGCAGGCTGAATATTGATAATTTCATATTGATGGTGGAAACCTTCTGCAAGGGAAGCTGTTTGATGGACTTTTTCTTTCTGTTTAACCTCCCTGGCGGTATTCCTGAGTGTAGCTCGGGGTAAAGTTTCAGTACCACAAGCGGTAACCCCGAGTTACACTCGGGCTTACCATGCGGCGCTGCTCTGCGATCCCACGATCACTTACCTTGTCCTGAGCTCCCGCGATGTCCCTCCTGCAGTGTCCCTGGCAATGTAATCCGGCGGATGCCGGCATCTGTCATCTGGGTTCTGTCCCCTTCGAGCATCGGGACGAACAGGGGATGGAACGGCGGGAAATTTGAAAATGACAAAAAGTGACATTCACTACAATCACTAAAATAACATAGTAAAACATTACTGTATCAAAGCATTTCACATATATTTTGTCCCTAGTGCTTTGTACTGTGCCCTGCCTGCATTTTTACTGTTCTTTCTGCCTGGAAACTGAAAAACGTCCATGGCGTCCCTTTAGGTCAAAAGCAGTTTTAGACCAGCTATAGAACAGTGATAGTAAATTAAAACCACTTGCAGAATTGATTGATAATGATTTGTGGGGAAATTTGTCATCAGACACTGAAAATGATTTTGCGACTTTGCTCAGTGATGTGTGAACTTGGCGCTATATTTCAAATTTCAGTGTTTTTTGGTTTGATTATATTATTGAATTAAATTTATTATTATTATATTATTATTTTTTATGATTATTTATTAAATTATAATTTATGATTTCGTGTTTCCCGGGATGTTTACTAGACTCTTGTTCGGACAGATTTCATTGAGTTATTCCTAAAAATTACAGGCCTACAATAAAAAAAAATACATATTTCCATGCTTTGAGCACAGAAATATGGACATAATCAGACAGCTAGGGAGGTTAAATAAAAGTGGGCCTTAAATGGCATACCTTATATGGACTGAACTCAGTGCAAAGCACTACCAATGAGCTAAACAATCCCTTAATCGCCACAGCTTAAATTTGATTGTCAAAAATATCTATTGTTTATATTACTATTTCAATGTTGATGTTATACACTTGTACACTTTAACGCAAAATATATGTTGTACTTTTTTATCTCCTTTAAAGTGTATCAATTTTTTAACAGTTTAGGAACAGTGAGGAAGGATTAGAACCCATGTTAAGTTTGTATTGTTTTGTCTTCACTATGTGGATTCATCCTCTCTATTTGTTCTCATGAACATTGTCACTGGGACAGCAAGGGATGAAAATTTCAAAATTTTCAGCTGTTACCAAAAGAGGAATAGAGGAGAAAGCTCCCAATGGGTACACCTGTTCTGGTGACATCTGTCTATGAGAAGAATTCCCTAGACTTTTTAGAGGGTTTTAAGCCTTTGCAACTCTATCCAAAACTAAAAAGAAAAGTTTTGGCTATGTATGCATTTTAAAATCATATGTTTAAGATTTATAATGGAAGTAAATGATCTCAGTACCTTCTGTTTTATGATGGTTTTATTGTGTGTACAAAACTCCAGGGTTGGGTCCTGAATGACAGGTAAGTTTATCCACTATTTGGGTTGTAGTCCCTTTAAGGGTGGCAGTTTGAATGTATGTGGGTTCTCACCCACATGACAACCCCTCCCAGTAAGGAGAATCAAGCCACCCATAAACCCAGGAACCAGAACTCAGGAGAACCAGGGAGCACCTACTGTATTGTCCTATAGCTCCACTCCAGCACAAAGGAAAGGGAACATGCCATGCTGGTGATGCCATTCCCAGGGCTATGTCTAAACTCCTTGTCCCCTGCAGGAGGAGTCCATAGGGTGTGGAACTGTGCAGCAAATATCCCTCTTTGACCAGAGGGTCTGTGCTGCCCCCCTGGATCTAGCTAAAGAGAATTTTGAGTGTAACCTCTGGGTGAACCAGCTCCACATCCGAGTGCTGCTGGATTCTAGGAGCACAGCAACATTTTTTCATACCAGGCCAGCTGGAAAAGTGGGCCTCGTAACAAGAACCTTGAGGCAGTGTGCATACATGGTGATACCAAGGAGTATCCATTGGTGCCATTGACAATTGCCACATTGTGTGGAACAATTACCCAGGAGGTCGGGGTGGTACCCTACCTTATACGCAATTTTATTGTACAAATGGACTACCCTTTGCTCATTGAACTTTGGGACTGTGAGCAGAGAACTGCTGGGACAGTGCGACCTTCCTGCTCCCTTTGAAGACCTAGACACTTGAACTTCAGAAAAGATTGCCTCACCAGCTCCAAGCTTGTAATACTTGCCCTTGTCTCCCTTCTTAGTAAGTCATTGACCTGACTTGCAGACCAGGTGTTCTAAAACCTTTTTTTTTCTTGCACATTTATTAAGGAACCCATTAAGCAGCATAGTAAGGATAGGGATGCTGGTCCCAGAGCTTTCACTTTTAAAAACAAGCAGCAGCCATGGCAGTTTACTTATGTCTAGCCTAACATAATTTTTAAAAGCCAAACATACCCTACAGACACAACGTGCATAGCAACTAAACACCACACTTCATGCAGACTGATGTTTTCATCTGAATAAATATGAGGAGAATTTGCCATTAGACACAATGTTTTGAAAACCTCTGCTCTCGGCTGTGATTTGGTGTTGATATTAATTTCCCTGCAGTCTCTGTATCAGTGTGAGCTGTCACAGATAAGATAATCACATATGTAAGAGATGGTAACGGTAATGATTCACCTTTAGCATGAAGGTTGTGATCTCCATTCCCTGGGCTAGATAAAGGAGTGTTTATATTAAAGTGTATAAAAAACAACTTGACAACTGGCACATCTATTAAAAAGATTGCTTATGCAACTAAAGGCTTGAAAGATTTTGTACTGCAATAAGTGCAGCTGTGACTAAGCTACATCTTCTAAGATATAGGGGAATAAACATTACTACTGAACAATGGAATAACACATCAGACAACAGGAACTTAGGAACAGCACATTCACTAATTGGAAAGTAGGATTCCGGTAATAAAAAGTGACTAGTGACAGAGAAAAGGTTCTTTGGCACTTGATGTGCAGGTAATGATACTGGAATTTTTTAATTTAATGAGATGCAAGAAATCCACACTACCTTGCATTATAATTAAGTATCTCTCTTGTGACTATTAACTTTAAACTGCGTATATTATCAGTACTTCATAGTAGTATATTAATTTTACAAGCAAAAGAAAAAAAACACAAAACACAATATAATCTTTATATATAAAAAATAAACATTTGAATTGTTTGACTGTCAGGAATTTTGAGGTGCTTTAAATGTGAGGATAATTTTAAAATGCATGCATGAATATATTTAAGGATAACAGTATCAAATTTAAACCTATGGATGGCATAGACTATTAAAGAAATCCTAATTTAATTTCAACACACTAGGTTATTTGTAAAGTGC